TATAAATATATTTTAATTGCAAATAAAGAAAATAATTATATTATGGAAGGCAAAGAAATCAAATTGATACTAATCAGTTTAATTTCTTGCTAAAGGTTTCTACTTTTAATTTCAAATTAATTAAAATTATTAATACTTTATAAAATCATACTGAGATTGAGGGTCATTACTGGAATCGTTAGTCGTACTAAAATTATTCAAGAAATTCCCTAAACTAAAAGAATTCCAGATTAAACATAAACTTAGGTCTTGTACATTAAATAAAGGTAGTAGCCATCAATTTTGAATCAATAAGTAATATTAAGATAATAAAATATTCATAAATAATTAATAATCGTTAAATTAATTCATTATTATTTTAGAAATCTATGTTTTATAAATAATTCTCAGTTTTAATAGCTGAATAATCAATTAAAAAAAATAAAATCTTCAGCATATCTATATTTGGTACTAAAATTATTGTTGGATTGAGACTTTATGAAATTTTAAATATTTATTAGAATTTGTAATTATTACATAATTAATAAATGAATATTTATTTTGAATTCTCTTTTAATTACTAATAAAGATTATATATAAATGAGAGATATAATAATAATAACTTAGAATAATTTATTTGTAGTGATGTGCATTAGAAAAATAGGTATTTTTGTAAGGAATAACTTTTATAGTTTCTCAAATATTTTTGATTGATTTAAAGAGATTCATAGCTAACTATATAAGGAATATATTATTATAATATATTATTTATTTGCTATAATGATTTCTAATCAAATAATATAAAAGAATTCTTTATAGAATTCAAGTAATATATAAAAATTATTATTTAATAATTTATTAAGTAATGTAATATTTAAAAATGGAAAATTATATATTTTTGTTTAACAGGCTTATGTAAAAATTTGGAGCAATTTTTATCAAGAATAATCCTGTATTGCCAAGAGTATTTAGCCAGAAAAGCTCTAGGACGAAAATTTGCAAATATTAAATATTAATAATAAAATAAAACAATTGATGTATCTAGAATGAAATTTTTTTTTTTTTTATAATATTCAACCTATTATTCAGCTAGGTTAATGTATTTTATTAAATTGATATTAAATGATTTTAATTTGAATATAGCTTTTTATAAAACATTATTATTTAAAATATACAAATGTTTACAATTCAGTTACTATTTTACTTAGTATATAGACAAATCAGATGTGAATTTAAATAGCTTTATGAGAATTTCAACGAACTCTAAATTTCTGATTTGGGTAATTGGATTTGCCTAAATTCACGTAATCCAGAAGTTTATAAGTGTAAATATGGAATGGATTTGATAAAGGTTGATCAGACATGTAGTTAAATTGAATATGAAATTACAGGAATTTTACCTCATTTTTAAGTGTAAATATATATAGATATATATGGTTATGGAGATTTATAAATTGAAGACAATATTGCTATTATTTTAGATTAATAAAATATATGGTAAACAGATAATACATTTTTGCCAATCTAATTACAACCATTAGGAAAATCTCATTAGTGCATAAACTATTCTTCTGATAAAAACTATTAAATACGTAAGACTGTTTATAAACAGTTTGATCATAACTCAGAGAATCTAAAATTAGAATTAAAAAGTACATTATCTGCAAATTTTGAAAGCAAATCTTTTCTTTTTAGAAATTTATAAATCTTATATAATCAATGTTATAAGACATGTAAAACTTGTAGTAATGATCTAATGAATTAATGTACATTATGTTACGATAATATTCCTTTGATTTCTGGAACTTGTTCTACTTGCTAATAGAAGGATGATTTAACTTTTCTATTGATTCCAAAAGGATGTGTTGTTTAATGTCCAGATGGGTATAACTGTGACAAAGATAAAGTATGCTATCAAAATTAAAGTAACAATTATTTTATTTTATTAGAATTAATAACTTATAGTAATTCATAATTAACCAAGATTAAAGAAGATTATTAAATATCTGGTAGTTTGGAATAATCTGCAATATTATTAAGATTAACTCTTAAAGTATAACTAATTGGCAAGAATAAATTTTTTGATTTGAAAATAAATGGACAGTATATTGCTTATATAAATCGATTCTAGATTTACTCAAAAGTAAAATATGACTACTTGTAGAAAATGTAGAATTAAATTATACTTGAATTTAATTATCCAATTAATTCAGAATAATTTATTATTTAAATTGATGCAAATAAGTAAAAATAAAATTTTTAAGCTCCAGAAGTTAAGATATAATATTTAGTTTGCGCCTTGAATTGTTAAAAATGTAAAAATAACAAAATTTGTGAAATTTGTAAACCATCCTATTACTTGTATTAAGGGGAATGTTTTAATAATTGCCCTGTGTACACTACATAATCAGATCAGACTTGTGTTGATTCTGATGAAAAAATAAATTATGATGAAAATTAAGAGGTAATAATTTTGGTAAAAGAATTTTGTGATCTTTCAACTACTTAAGAGAGAATAAATGAATTATTTAACGTTGTAGTGAACAGTGGAGATAATTATAATAATTATAATTTTTAAAAAGGAGATGGTATTTACTTTTCATATTTTGGTAATAAAAGAATATTTGGAGGACCTTTTGTATGGGTAAATACTAAGTTTTAATTTCATCTAAATCTATAAAATATTTAATAAATTGTTTATGTTAAATTTGAAGTAATTTTAGGAGATGAATAAATGAGTAGAGAGTAATTTCATTATCAAATAAATTCAGAAGTTAAGAAATCACTTCAAATCAATGAAAATAAATAATTACATTATGATTAAAATTGGTAGGATAATTATTTTATTGATGTGATATAAGTTATAGAAACTATTTAATATTAAGATGATCATGAAAATGCATTGGACATACTTTTTCATTGTGATAATGCATTTGAAAATGCAAATACAACATTTTGTGGAATTTAAAATCTTATTATTTCATTTTAGACTTTAAAATAAGACTAAAGTGATTCATCAGATTAGGATTACATTAATGATGAAGATATGGAAAATATATTTGAAATATCAATATGTGGTGATGGAAAAGTTTCTTATGATGAGGAATGTGATGATGGTAATCTCATACCTTTTGATGGATGTTTTAATTGTGAATATTCATGTGAATAATTATGTTAATTTTGTGTTAAAGGAGAATGTTTGCTTATGTTTGAATAATAATAATAAAGTTAGATATTTTAGAATACATTTATTATTTCTTAAGAATTAAATGAAAATAAATTCTCTTGTATTATGATAGATTGTGAAGTTTGTATTTAAGGAATATGTTTATAATGCAAGATTGGATATTATATGAATTATATAAATAATTAATGTGAATCAATATGTGGGGATTTAATAATTTAAGGATTAGAATAATGTGATGATGGTAATTTAGATGATTATGATGGTTGTTCAGATTGTTAATTAATTGTATATGAAAATTGTATTATGTTATAAACATGTGCAGTTTGTCATTATGATAAATGTTTAAAATGTAATGATGGATATACTTTAGAAAATAATATATGTATTTCAATTTGTGGAGATGCTTTAGTCAATAAATTAGAAGAATAATGTGACAACCCAAATGAGATAGGATGTATTAATTGTTAAATAGAAAAAGGGTATATTTGTTATGGTTAAAGTTATTCTATTTGTAAGACATGTAGTAATTATTGTATAGATTGCTAGACTATTAATTAATAGAATCTCATATGTAATGATTGTATTATAGGTTACTATCCTATTTAAGATAATTGTTTAGAATGTGATAAAAATTGTATAACTTGTAAGATTTAATCAAATTTATGTACATCATGTTATAGATCAGATTGTGAAATATGTGAATCTATTCCAGGTTATTATACTGATTTTTAAATTAAAAGATGTGTTACTTTATGTGGAGATGGAATCTTGGCTAAAGAATAAGAGGAATGTGATGATGGAAATATTGAAAATGATGATGGATGTGATTCTTAATGCAAAATTGAAATTCCTCAAAATTATATTAATGATTTATTAGTATGGCAATTCACTGGAAATACTACATATGATTTCTAACTTAAGAATTCAGAATATTAACTTTAATTAAATTGTTAAAATCCATTTATTATTATTGATGGTATTAGTACAAATGATTATTCATTTAATATTACATTAATCAATAAAACATGTAGTTTATAATTTGAATATTTTACATCTATATTCAAACATAATATTATACATGTAGAGTTAAGTCTTTAATTTAATCAAAATAGATTACTTAATGAAAATAATGAAAATAATGTAAGAAGTGTAAAATTTGATATTTAACCTAATGAATAAATAATAATATCATAAGATTAACAATAGTAAGCATAATAAATTGCTAATGTATAATAATCTTTTAATTTCTTATTTATTATAATAATTCCTGTATCCATAGTAACTAATCTATATGATTATTTATGGGCTGTTCTTGAAATTTTAAGCTGGGTAAATAATTTCTATTTTTTAAATGTTAATTATCCTTTTAATGTAGAAATGTTCCTTTTAAATTCAGATTGGTCATCATTTGTTACTCTTCCTACATACTAAGGCTTGAATTAACCAGATTGCTCTTATTATTTTACAGCACCATAAAAATTTTAAAATAAAGGAATAGATCCATTATTTTTCAATAATATTCAAATACCTTTTATATTTATTCTCATCATTTTTTTAATATATGAATTCAATTTCATAATATTATTTTTCTTTAATACTCTAAATCAATTAGAAATTAAAAAATAAACTGTAAATCATAAACACTTTAGTATTTTTAATTTATAAGTTAAACGAAAAACATAATAAACTTAATTTTAATAACAATAATAGGATAAATAAAAGACTTAATAAACTTAGGTTTAATAGTAATAAAATTAATAAAATCTACAAAATAATAGTATTGTAAATTAAATAGTAGGTTATTTTATAGTAATAGATAAGAAATTAAAAAATAAATTAAAATAGACTCTTTCATTGTGTATGTTAGATATTACATTAGCTATTATGCTTTAGATTACTTTTTCAAATAATAACTCAAATATAATTGTTGGTTTAAATTAGTTTTTTGCTATTATATCTATCAATATAATTATATTTTAACTTTATCAGTCTTATTAAACACTAAATATACATATATTACTTGCAGAAAATAAATAATATAAAGAACAATTTGAAATTTATTACGAAAATGTCAATACTGAAGAATCATTTGGATATTATTTTAAATTTTTTGGGTTGATTAGAAAAATCTTATATATCTTTTTTATGGTTCATTATTATTATTATCCAATTTTCTAAACATTATTATGTTTTGTTTCAACATCAATTGGAGTAGTATTTATTTTATATTAAAATCCTTATAATTCTAAAAGGGAATTTTACACTTAATTAATTTCAGAATTCAGTTTGAGTATAATATTATTGATAGCAGTGTCATTTTCAATTAATGATACACAATAGATTATATTTATATAACATAATAAAATTACTTTAGGTTGGGTCGTTATTGCATTTGTCATTTTAGCAATCTTTATTTAAATATGTGGATTAATTTATGGATTAATGATTCATATCTATTAACTATTTTTGAAAATAAAGAATTATTATTTAAATATTAGAAAAGATAATCATTCAATAAAAAAATAATAAGAAAACATAAATAATGATCCATCATAACTTGAAGGATAATAACAAATTATTTAATTTAATAAATTATAATTAAATGAAAAGCAAGAAATCAAAAGAAATTTTGAATAATTAAATGTAATCGAATAATGAATATCAATTATTTATTTACATATCCTATAGATTTCTTATCTTTGAGCTTCTAAGTATAAAAAAATAATCAAATATATGTAAAATCTATATTCATTTTATTTTTATTAATGATTAGATTATAAGTCAATAATAAGATTTTTGAAAATACTAATAAATTCATATAAGCTTAAACTAATTTCTCCATATTTTAAGTTTAACTTTAAATGCAAAGTCTTGTTTAAAATTAATTAAATTTTATTATGTATCTAAAACTATCAACCAATTTCAAATGAGAATAATAACTTTTTCCACAATCTTCAAAATAACATTTATAAAATATTATTATCTTTATTAAAAAATTGAAATTTTAGGAATTCTATATCTTCAAATTATTAATCTGTAACTCAAGGGGATTTTCAATTTTTAACAAAAAAACAAAATTTTTTCTAATGTAACAAAAGGTTTTTTTGATATAAAAATTTATTAAATAATTGTTCAAATATGAACTCAGATTTATAAGATATAAATGTATAAGAGGACTGCTAGTTTTCTGTTAATTTTTCTGTAATTAATTCATAAAATAGAGAAATAAATTATATTTAATAAGGAAGCATTTTGAGAACATAAGTATGAATTTATTAAAATTTAATAGAAGATTGAACAAGATTGTGGAGCAGAGATAACTATCAATCTAAATCAAATTAAATATTTATAATGGTAAGGATAGAAGGGAAGTGAAAATTAAAAGGTAGGTAAATGGATACCTTATTGGAAAATGGAAGGATTACCTTTTGGAGGATTCTATGATAAATAAGGATTAAAATAAGGAATTTGGAAAGATTTGGATGAATAATTTTAAGAGTAATTATTATTATTAACTGTTATTAGTTATGCTTAAATTACATTTTGTGGAGAATATAAAGATTCAAAAAGAATTGGTCGATGGGACATAATATTTAATAATAAAATAATGTAGCTTATTATATTTGTTATTTTTTTATAGCGGAGGAGGTTATTATGATGAAAACGGGTAGAAGAGTAGAAAATGGGTTGAATTACATTAGAACTATCTATCTAAGAGTTTGTATTATTGTAATGTTTTTCACATTGGTGAATACTTAGAAGGAAATAAAGTTGGATATTGGTAAGAATTTGAAATGAATCGTCAAATGTATAAATATATAATTATTAAATTTAAAGGGGAGGAGGCCTATATAATTAGAATGGATTAAAAAATGGTAATTGGATGGAGTTGTGCGAATATTTTGAAAAGTATGAATATTTAATGAATCTAATTATTCAGGTAGAGTTAAGTTAAATATAATGGAAATTATGAAGATGGTAAAAAGTAGGGCATATGGTAAATTCTTTTTAAAGATCCTAATAAAGATAGAAAGTTTAAATCTATGTATAAAATTAATAATTGAAATCAATAGTGGAGGTGGAAATTATAATATAAACGGATTAAAAGATGGTGAGTGGATTGATATTAGTGAACAATTTAATGTGTAAGTATAATTCTTATATTTGGCTAATAGATCTCATCAAATTACTTATAATGGCCAATATAAAAATAGTCAGAGATAAGGTCATTGGGACATAATGTATAAGGAAGAGGGTAGCAATTTATTTGAATAAATGTAAAATTGATAATTCCATATTATAATAGAGGAGGTGGATCATTTGATATGAATGGGATGAAAGATGGCATTTGGGTTGAGTTAAGTAATTAATATTTTAAGTATATACTTAAATTAGAATTTTAATAGGGGAATGTTAATTACTTTTAAAGGTGAATATAAAAATGCACAAAAATATGGTAATTGGGATATATTTTTAAAAAATAGATATGCTGATGATGAAGAATTTATGTAAAAAAATAAAATAATTTAGTGGTGGTGGATTATATGATATGATGGGATTGAAAAGTGGTTACTGGATTGAATTGAATTAAGATTCTTAAAAAAGTAATTTGATTACTTTAAATGGTGAATATATTAGTGGTATAAAACATGGAGATTGGGCAACTATGTTATAAACTTTTTTATTACCGAATAAGTTTTAATAAATGTATTTAATTTAAATCATATGATAAATTAGAGGTGGTGGATCATTTAATTAATTTGGTATGAAGAATGGAAAATGGATTGAGATTAATTCCAATTTTTCTATCAGGAACTAAATTATACAAACTGGTAATTACAAAAATGGAAAAAAATGTGGTAAATGGGATAGATTGATAAAGAATCCTTAATCTAAAATGTTTGAAAAGATGTAAAGATGAAATAAATTAATAATTATAGTGGTGGTGGTTAATTTGATGTTAATGGGATAAAGTATGGTTTATGGGTGGAAATGGATGATGAGGCTAATTTGTATCTAATAAAATATTAAACTAATAGATATAATTGTATAACTAATAAAGGGGAATATTTAAATGGAAAAAAAAGTGGAAATTGGATTATTTCGCATACTGATTAGAATTTAATATTTAAAAAGATGTATTAATAATATAATCAATTTAGTGGTGGAGGATAGTATGATAAAAATGGTATGAAAGATGGTAAATGGATTGATATAATCAATGATTTTAAATAGTATTAGATTTAATACAAATTTTTAGGTGTAATTAAGAAATTTATAGTGGTGTATATAAATAAGGATTAAAATGTGGTTTTTGGGATGAAAAATCTATAAAATAAAAAATGTAAGAATACTATTTTATTGTAGTAACAAAAAGATCATATATAATACAAAAGGACTTAAATTTGTTTAAAAATGATAAAATCAAATATTAAATTCATTTTTTATCAACAGAATGTATTTTATAATTCTCATTATCTGAAAAATACCAATTTACTTATCCAAAATTTAAATTGTAGATTTGATCACTTATTTAGAATAAAATATATATCATAATCATATATAATACTTCAAATAAAGTACTTCTATTAATCACTTGAAGTTTAATCTAATGAAATAAATTTCTATCCATTGTATCTAACTACTCGAAATTTATTCATCCAAATATCATTAGCCAAATAAATTCTATTTTCTTTATTTTAGATGATTAAAATCATATTATCTTAAATCTCTTAATTTACTAATTTAAAATGTGTTATATTAACAATTGAAAAACAAAAATAAGTTAATTTCTTAAATAAAGTCACATTAAAATCCTTATGTATTTTATATTTAAACTATATAAAGAAAATGAAATTTTTGAATTCTCCTAAACTTAAAAAATATATCTTTTAAAGTTTAGGAGAATTAAATTAAATTGTATTATTGAGTAATTTATTAAGATTATTCAATTAATATTAAAAACAACACGTATAATAATAATAATTGTAAAACCAAAACTATTAACTGATTTCAGCTTTCTTATTTTTTTAACTTATATCAAGTCCTCTTTGCTTTTGTGAAGTTTAATTTAATACAAAAGACTTAAGAAAGGTCACAGGAGAATTTGAATAAGTTTCATTTATACCTTTAATTTATTCCGATTAAAAGTAAAGTAAGAATTCATTTTTATGATTAAATTCTAGCCTAAAATTTTCTATCTATTTATTAAAATAGATAGAGTAAAAATAATCATGAAAATAACAATGAATCTCAAATAAATAATGATAAAATATTAAGAATAATAAAATAAATTTAAATTAAAAAACTGCTTCAAATAAATTAAGATTTGGAGAAATTCTAAAGTAAAAATTCATTAAAAAGATACAGTATATTAGTTTAAGATATTTAATGTATTGTAAAATAATAGATATTTTTGTTTGAAGATATTGGTTATAATTTCTATTTTCTAATACAATTAAAAATTATTAAATTTTATTAAATTTTTTTAATTA